ATCTCCCTTCCAGACACACTTCCTTCTCACTGCCTCTACTGCGGTATTCTGCGCATCTGTAATGAAGAGAAGAAAGCAAACTCCCAATTATACCAATAAATTATCCACTTTGAAATATAAATTAAGAGAGCTATCCTGCAGACAGTCTTCCCCTGGTCCTCAGGGACCCTCTCTGTAAACATCCCTTTGCTGTCTTCTTCCAATGCAGCTTCACCTGTGCCAGGAATTTCCTGCTCCTTTTTGGGGCTGAGCATCCCCAGGCTGCCTGTACCAGAGGGTCTGGGCCATGGAGCAGACCACACACAGCTGTTTATGCCAGGAAAATCAGCCAGCCCATCAATTTTTACTGCTCACAGCCCAGCCTAGCCCAGCTTTCCAGTATTTACATCCTAATGCCAAATACCAGGAAAGTGGAGGACCCGTAGTTCTGCAAACTATACCTCAGAAGATTTCCTTGCATCAAAGCTGTGGGTAGGATGGCACGGGCTGCTAATTGTTATCTGCCTTAAATTTGTGAGGGCTGGCCTAAGGCCCTGGCTTACGTCCCAGTGACCCCTCTGGTTCTGCAGTGGCCTGGAGCTCAGATGTCAGGGGATATCTGCAGCTCCAGGTGTGTGTTCTGGCACCAAGGACATCTTCCTCCTCCTCCTGGGGTTGGCTGGGCCCACGGCCAGCTCTGACAGCGCAGCTGGTTGGCCTTGGATCAATGATAGGATTGAGATGTGAGGAGCACTGGCAGGGACTCACTGTCCTTCTTGGGAGCTGCTGGAAAGCAGGGCTCTTGTCCTTTATTCTCTGCTCAGCTATGATGAAGCTATGCCCATACTTGGCCCTATAACTCACCAGTATGGACGCTGACTTGACCTGGGATCTGACTGATCACTGTGGTCTTGTCTGGTGATCTGGGCTTTTGGCTGGCCCTGCATACTGTTACCTGACAAGCTCATCTTGTTTGGGCTCCATGGCAATGAGCCGCTGTTCTAAAAGACCACACCCCACATCCACCTTGCTGTCATCCTTGGTCTTCGTTCATCTCTCACTGAGCAGTTCTTGCTCCTTGCTGGCAGTGGGAAACAGCATAAAATGAGGAAGATCTGGGATTTCTTACAAGAATAGCAGAGGAGAAAAGTGATACTTGTCCCTGGGGAGCTTCCCCTAACTGTTCTCACAGTCAAAGTATGGGCAAAGTTGCTGAAAGCAGCAACTTGCCTCTTAGACAGCACAAGGGAGCTGTGAATAGCCAGAGATTTTATGGTTCCTCCTTCACTAGAAATGTCACCCAGCTTCTGGAAATGCTAGTGCAAAAGCCAGCTGCTCCACCAGTGCACCTGTTCCTTGTCTGCAGATACCAAGGCATGAATAAACTCATGCCTCTATGCCTGCATAAGCCCTGGTCCCTCCAAAGCAAGTCTCATGTCAGCTCCTCCACCAGCTCTTCAAGTCATCCCCAGAAGCAACTTCCCCCAGAAGCAAAGCCAATCCTCTGGGACTGTCCTGGCACAGGTGGTCTCAGGAGGGTCCTGATTCCCTAAGCTTCAGATCACCCTATGTTGCTGTGACAGTCTTAAAGTGGGGATGACTGGTCTTGCAAAGAGCCATTGGCCGTCTGCCTGTGGGAAGCAGTAGATGATGTACTGCTATAAAGAGCTGCTTGTGACAGCCAGACCCATTGAGATACCATTGAAGAGCACAGAAAGACACCAGAGAGCCAAATTTGATGAAGTACATACTCCTGATAGAGCCAGTATCCTTGTGTAAGCCATCCTAGCCTGTAGCTGAGTTTTCAGCCCAAAGAACTGCATTTTTCACCCCAGACTGGAGCCTGTCACTAGGTAGAATGCCTCCAGTGTGGATTACTGAAGAACTTGGACCCTGGTGTGAGAGAGACAAAGTGGCAACAGGAATTTTATTTGGGTATCAAATTCATAGTGGTATGGCTCATTGAGCACTAGCTTGCTGATATAAATATAAGGATTATGCTGGGTCAGACCAAAAGATCATCACAGTCAGTCCAACCGACAGCAGTAAATGGATGTCTTAAGAAAAGCATAAGAACAGGAAAAAAGCAACAATTCCCACAAACATTTTCCCAGGTTCATTTTCAGATGAGGAGTTTTCCTACCTGGGTGTGTATCTTTATACACTTTCAATTTATTTCTCTTGTGGTGGATCTATCTTACCTCTCCTTCAGTGGGTGTTATCTCATCTTCGATGTTGGCATTTGACAAAGCTTGAGTCTTCACCAGGATTTACTTTGTGGTCATTACTAAGTCCTAGTCATCATGAGTTAAGAACATAACTTATCCTATCAAGACAAATTTTGACATCAGTGAAAGAAAGTTCTTCAAACGTTAATAACCTCCCTCTAACAGGCAACAGAAAGCAAGCTCTAACCTTAAGAAGTTAAAATAGAGTTGTGCTGGGAGTTAGAGAGCATGTGAAAAGCAGCAAATTCTGCAGAGAAGGGTCCGTCCTGCTCTGCTATGTCAGTAGTCCTACACTGTCCCAGAGGTCTTGCAACTCAAGTTGTCCCATTTTGTGATGTGCCAGCGAGACATGAGACTGACAAATGGGTTAGGTGAATTTTGAGGATTAATTAACAGTGTGATTAGAAGTTGTATGATTATACAGATTGTTTTTGACAGTGGGTTTTAAATCATACCACCTCACCAGCTGCCCCGCTCTCTTGCGGGGAGCAGCAGGAGGCACCCACATCTCCCACATCTCACCCACATCTGGGTCAGCTTGTTCTGCTGAAGCCAATAGGTCATCCCAGAAAAAAAGCAGCACTCAGCACCAGGCAGTAGTGGGACACTCGAGGAGATGTTGCAATCCTTCATCTCTGAGTTGTTACAAAAAATCCTCCCTATGACTCTTAAGTGACAAAACATACGTTGTTGGGGCACTGAAGGCACTCACAGACTTTGCTGGCCTTCCTTCCTTCCCTTCACCTTTCCCTATTTCAGCCCAGACTGGACAGCAGCCCGCATTCAGATCTGTGGCTGGGCAGAGCTGTAGTGGAACTGGAGACCAGCCCTTAAGCAGCAGTGCTGGGGCAGGGACTGATGCCCCCATAGCGGGCTGAAATTGAGTATTGGGGGGCTGCTCAGGGCCAATAAATCCTAACATCCTGCTCTTAGCCCTGCTATGTATCTTGAAGGTCTTGGTGACTAGGAATCCATCAGTACGAAGCTCATGTGGTGAGGAAGAACAGCCACCCTGAGCCATATAATTCGTTCAGTTTCCAAAGCAGCAAAGTACTCACTCCTCACATTTTAGTAGTGTCTGCTAATTATAGTGCCAAAAAGCAGTATTTGCTTAACTACATCAGAATGTTTTCTCTCTGAGTACATGCAAGTTTAATTATCTAGTCAACAGCTCCACCAAGAAGCTTTATTCAGGCAGTAAAACTAATCAAACTGCCATGTAGCTCTAAGAGGTATCCAATTCCTGAGCGTCTACTAGGACTCGCCCAATTCACCGCAGCAACTGACAGGCTTATATGATGAGCAGGAAGAAATGGGGCTCAATGATCCTCAAGGGTGCCTTCCAACTTGGGTTATTCTATAATTCTGTGATTCTGATTTGGAGTCAGTGGTAGCAATTGGCAGCGGGACTTGATGATCTCTTGAGATCCCTTCCAACCCCTGCAATACTATGATACTATGATCACCACCACCGTCTATAAAAATACCATCTATTTGCTGGGTGTAGATTTACGGATTGGTAAATTGAGTTGCCTCGGTACGTTTCCCATTTTTTATTCACAAGTTTTCCACTTTACCTCATAGGTTAAGTTAAATGGATCTGAACAAAGCTCCTTTGTTGCCGGCACCGCTCTGATGTCCGAGTGGCTCTGAGCAACCGCAGCTGGCGGCCGCACCACCTTCCTTGGCGGGCAAAGCAAAGTTCTCAGCTACTGAATCTGCTTCGGCAGCTCTCCTGAAGACAGCTGGGCAGCTGGATCCAATTCTCCTTCACAGCAGCGAGTGTCAGACCTAGGAGCCAGCCCTGACACGGCCATCTTGACAAATGTGGTCATGCTGGCCGAGTGCTCCCAGAGTGGCAGGTACATGCTCAGAGGAACATCTATTGGCAGCTACTCGGATACAAGAGGGATGGATACGTTACACTGAGCCCTGAGATACAAGCATTTGGCACGCGGCTGAAAAGCAGAGAACAAGTGCTGGTTCTCCAGATTGCATCCATCCCCGGCGGGCTGCAGGCCTCGGTTTGCAGAGCTGAGGGACAGAACGGGGCTGGAGGAGGCGGTGAGAGAGCCCAGCTGTCCACGAAAGGGAGGCACTCAGACCTGTCTCTGTGGGGCTGTGGTAAACGTGAGCTGGGTGTGAGCATGACACGGCTCGGGGTTTTTGAGGGGAGTGGGTTCTGGGCTTTCTAGGATGCTATTCCCAAGAAACCACTCTTCCTCACGGCAGGCGCTCACCACAGCACATCACCTCAGCGCTCTGTACCCGATGTCGGCTCACCTCACACCACCCCCGTGTCCAGCCTGGCAACGCTACGTGCGACCTAAGTACCTCAGACCCACCGGTAGCACGGTGCTACTTTCGATGGCTTCGGGAGGCCCGGCCGCTCCCCCCCGCGCTCAGAGGCCGGCGCAGAGGCGGCGCACACCCCGCGGCCGCCGGCCGCCTCAGGCCCCAGCGCGGCGCCGCCGGCTCCGCCCGCTCCACGTGCGAGGCCGCCGGCCGCCGGGGACTACAGCTCCCAGCGCGCCCCGCGCCGCCGCGGCGCGCGCCGGGAAGCGCGGTCTCTCCTCCAGCCCGGGGACGGCGAGCGCGGCGGAAGGAGGGCGGGGCGAAGCGGGCGGAGCCGCGCGGCGATTGGCCGAGCGCCGCCCGCCGCTCTCCCAGTCACTCGGCAACGGCGGGCGCGCCCCCTCCCCCCTCCCCGCCGTTCTCCTCCCGCCCCCTGTGGCGCGCGCTCGTCACGGCGCGTCCCCCGCCCCCCTCTCCTCCCCCCCGCCCCTCGCGCGAGCCGCCGCCGCCGGAGCCGCCTCAGCCGCCGGGAGCCGCCGTCGCCATGGCCGAGAACGCCGCCGCCGCCGCCGGCCTGGAGAACCACCGCATCAAGAGCTTCAAGAACAAGGGCCGCGACGTGGAGGTAGGCGAGGGGCCGGCGGGGCCGCGGCGGGGCCCGGCCTCCGCCTCCTCCTCCTCCTCCTCCTCCGGCAGCGGGCGGGCGGGCGGGCGGCGAGAGGAGGGGCCGGGGCCTGGCCGCGCTCGCGGCGCCGCCGGCGGGAAGGAGGCGGCCGGCGGGGGGAAGCGCCGCGGGGCCGTTTCGCCTCCGTCACTCGGGCGCGGCCAGCGGGGAGCTGGGGGGCGGGACGGGGAGGCGGTGGGGCCCCGCGGCGGGGTGCGGCCCCCGGCACTGCCGCCCCCGGGGCCCGGCGCGGACAATGGTGCCGCCGCCTTTTGTGGCCGGGGCCGTGCGCCCATCCCGGGGCCGCTCCCCGCCGCCCGCGGGGCTTCCCGGCCCGCTCCGCACCGAGGCGGCCTTCCGTTCCGCGTTTAAATATCGGTGGGCGCGGATTTGGCGTCCGGCTGAGCCGGGAGCTCCCCCGGGCCGATGTGAGGCCGGAGACCCGTCTGCCCCCCGCCGGCATCCCTCCGGAGCGGGCAGCGGCGCCGGGGCCGGGCTGGGAGCTCGTCCCTCCCCGCTTGTGTTTGAGGTTCTGTAACGGGAAGGGAAAGGGGTGGGAGCCGCGCTGGAGCCGCACCGGGGCTGGAATCGGATGAGGGCTGACGGGAATGAAAGCCTCGATGTGTGTCAGCGTGCGCTGACTTCTCCTCGCCTCCAGCGCTGTCGCCGAGATGGACTTGTGCAGTCGGCCCTTCGGAGCGCGTGTGGTGTCTGTGCAGGATTCCCACCTCTGCTGCTATTGTCTGGGTGGGGACGGCTCTCTGCGGGTCGGGCTCGGCGGCGGCGGTGCCTTTAAGCTGACATTCCCAATGCGAGCTGATCTTTACCTTGATTTTTTGCTGAATTTATGACGGCAGAGCTTCCTCACACAAATACCGTGTGTGAGGAGCGCGTTGATTTCGACACTTCTGGGTAACGCTGGGAAACGTTAGGAAGTAGCTAAAAATTCCCGTCCTTTCTTTAAGCAGTTGCTTCTCAGGGCAGGAGGAGGCGTGGTGGATTCCTCCTTCCCTTCTCCTTCAGCAAGGCTCTTCCTGCGGCTCCTCATTCATTTAGCCCGTGCTGATCGCTGGCTTTGTTGCTGCTTCCTCAGCCTCTGGCCTGAATCCATTGGAGCTCCAAACAGGGAAAGGTTAGGTATGTCGGTGCCCGGTGCAAACTGAGCTGTCATCCATCCTTGCTTATGTTATAGCGTGCCCAAGACGGAGGGGAATTAAATATCCGCCTCCGTTGGGGGGGAGAGGAGAATTGACAGCCTGAGCTTCGCTGGGATTAGTTAAAGCAGCCCTGCTGAGGTACCTCTGCTCTCAGGAGAACATTTGCTCCTGAAGTGGAGTAATTATTTTGGAATAGGGTATTTGCTGTTACAGAGAAGTCTATCCTCCAGGGTTATCTTCCAGTCTGCTGACTGGCTCCTTTTGTGGCTGAGCCCAAGACTGTGGTGGATAACCACATTAACTCTGTTGGAGCTGAAGCTGTCATCCGTGCTTTTGGGATGGGTCAGGCTCTCAGAGGAATCTTTCTTTTGTGGGCACCAAGCAGATGAAACACAGGAATAAGTAAAAGCAGCATGCTTGTGGATACTTGCTAGAGTGAAATTTAGATTCATTTAAAGGACTATTAGAAATGCCAGTGTCTGTCGTGTCTTTCAGGACAACTTAATTCATATCATGTGTCTGAAATTTTCTACTGTAGCTCCTTTTTGACTTTTTTTTTCCTTATCATGATCCTTATTTAAAAGCTCAAGTTCAAAGTGCTTCTATAAGTAAACTTTATGTAACTTGGGTGTCTAGCATGTAAGCTAAATTTATAGCAGAGGAAGAAAGAAGCTCAGCAGTGCTGTATAATTGCTATTACTTGCTGCGCTTCTCCTGAGATACCACTGTACGTTCTGACAGTGCATCTGTATTCAGTGAGATTATCGGTTCTCCACACTACAGTTCTTGCCTAAATCAAGTGCTGCATGTAATTCCCTACTGTCAGCAATTAAATGCACTTGTTTTGGTGTGTGCTGCAACAAGGAGCGTTACCTTGAGATGCTGCCTCCAGTTTTTGTACATGTCTTTTAAAACCAGACTGAGAAGCGCTGTCACTGATCTGCATCTGTACTTTCTGTTAGATTCCACCAAAGGGAAAATAAGTGGTTAGAATGATGGAGCAATAAATTGTGGTCTGGTATCTCTATTATATCCTTTGGAAAACCTAAACTATTCCATACTGTATGTTCCCAGGTTGGGTTTGAAAGCAGCGTTGTTTGAGTCACCTTCTGCCTGGAGACAGTCCCTGCCTTTGAACTCATCAGGCTCAAAAGCATTTTAAGAATACCTTAGCAGCCTTCCCTTGGCTTCTAATAAATACTGAAGAGTTGTTATTGATCCCCTCTGGGTACAGACTATTATGGCAGACCAGAACATTTACTCCTTTAATTTGTAGTTAACTCATATTTTATTACTGGGTTTGCTAGGCCATGATCATCTTTGCTGTTTGTTAATGCAACTTTAAAAGGGAAACAAAAGATGAGTAAGTACTTCTGTCTGACTCTAGGACAGACCTTTGTGCCCTGTCGTCCTCTCGTAAGAGGAAGAGGATCTGTTGGGCAGATTATAGCAGTCTGTTGCACTGACTATTTGACCCGTGCACTTCTCAAGTCTTAGATTGGGTTAGAAGTTTCTTACGTTGAGTCACAGAATCACAGAATGGCCAGGGTTGGAAGGGACCTCAAGGATCATGAATCTCCAACCCCGCTGTCACTTGCAGGGCCGCCAACCTCCCCATTTAATACCAGACCAGGCTGCCCAGGGCTCCATCCAACCTGGCCTTGAACACCTCCAGGGATGGGGCATCCACAACCTCTCTGGGCAGCCTGTTCCAGCACCTCACCACTCTCTCTGTAAAGAACTTCCCCCTGGCATCCAACCTAAATCTTCCCTCCCTCAGCTGAAAACCCCTTGTCCTTCTGTTATCTACCCTTTCAAAGAGTTGATTCCCCTCCTGTTTGTAGGCTCCCTTTAGGTACTGAAAGGCTGCAATGAGGTCACCCCGCAGCCTTCTTTTCTCCAGGCTGAACAAGCCCAGCTCCCTCAGCCTGTCTTTGTAGGGGAGGTGCTCAGGTCCCCTGATCATCTTTGTGGCTCTCCTGTGGACCCTCTCCAACAGCTCCCTGTCTTTCTTGTGCGGGGGGCTTCAGACCTGGACACAATACTGCAATGTTGCTGTGGCCTTCCTGCATTAAGGAGGTACGGTTGCGTGTGTAGGGCTGGAATTCTGATTTTGAAGAATTCATACTTGTTATCCCCAAAGGATAATGGCAAAATCAAATGCCAGAAATAAAGTGCTACTCACTTAATGTTAGCTTGTGTTCTTGCTTTTATTAGTAAGGAAACACTTCTATTTTTATAGGCACTGAAATGTGATTAGCAGCAGTCAGAACTAACCTGAACCTGCACAGCTGGGTGACAGAAGCCAAGACACCAGTGTCTTCATTTGGATGAACAAGTGCCAGAACAGTTTATCCTCACAGCCTTCTCCATTTTATATTCTCCAGAGATGTGAAAGGGCTTTTAAAATCGTCCCATGTACAAGGAGAGTGCCTTCCTGTGTTCATCGCCAGCATGTGGTCTTAAGGCTCAGTGGGTGTTTCTCTAAATGTACAGCACTGATTATTCCAACACAATTGAGGCTTTACAGGAAAAGATTGAAGAGTTGCAATTGCTTAATTTGTGATACTCCTTATAACTGCTGGGTTTATTTGCTTATGATGACATCTTGAACCGTCTGATTTTTCTGCTCGTGGTTCTCCAGCTTCATTCTTTACTTCATAATGTCATACTGAGAGCTTTTTCCTCCTGTCACTTCTTGGAGCAGAAACGTGTTACATATTCTCTATTGCAGTAGCAGGCACCGTCTTGAAGATGGAGATGATAGATCATAGAATGGCCTGGGTTGGAAGGGGCCACAATGATGATCTAGTTTCAACCCCCCTGCTGTGTGCAGGGTCACCAGCCACCACACCAGGGTGCCCAGAGCCACATCCAGCCTGGCCTTGAAAGGTCAAGCCATTCAGCCAGTTTCTCATTATCGGGATCAGTCAGCATCGTTGGCTAAATAAAATTTAAAAATTCTAGATAAATTGAGATGTCACAGCCACCACTGCTTCCTCCAGTTACTTTTTTTTGGGCCCGCTGTATCACCTTTTGTTCTGTGTCATCTGTGGGCCCAGGGACTTTGTGACATCCATTCTTATTCCTTGCCATCAGCAACCTGATCCCGAATGAGGCAGAGGAAAGCACGGGCTTAGCCCAGATCTCCATCAGCAGCTCTGGCATCTTCTGTGTGTTTGCTGTTCCCGCTCTGCTAGCAGTGTGGATCTAGCTCTTGAAAATGCTCGGATTTATTCACGTTTTTCTGTCACGCTGCCATGAATTTTTTTTGCAAGCAGAGGAATATAGCTGTGGGGAGGCCAAATCCATGTGATCACTGGGCATCTGAGAAGGGTGTGGGCTGACTGAGAGCCGTGCTCCTGTCAGATGTCCAAGGCGTATTGCAGTGGAGGTACCATAGCTGTGCAGTGTTAACAAATGAGGGGATGTGACGCTACTGGCTCATCTCAGGGTGCTGTTTGTGCACTGATTGGTGCTTTTGTGGCCTCCCTGTAATTCCCTCCAACACCAGCTGAAACAAATAAGGCTTGCAGCAATCCCAGAAAGCCAGTTGTTTCCAGCTATTTTGCAGTAACCCGTCTTCTTACCAGAGCACACTCTTGCAGGTTGATCAGCCTTCTGCCTCTCGGTTTGCTGGCGCAGGATCTAATATTGACAAGCAAGGGCTGGGAGGGAGCAGAGCTGGAGTGGCTGATTTAGGTTGGTTTAAGCATCTGTGGTCCTGCTGCATTAAGGGCCTCAGTGCAGCTCAGGAGTCAAAGTGAAAGCACAGGTGTCAGGTAGCTTCCTGCTGGGAACTGC